TGATATGTCAAAGGGACAAGAGCAAACTGAGTTTTCAACAGCTGAAACTGTAGCAGCTTGAGAAACAGAATATAGTAGTACTAGATTACAATCCAAAGTATAAAGTAAATATGAATTCATACTGATTTTTTAAATAATTCTATAAATAGAATAGATAAATATGCTGTGCAGAAGTCCAAGTAATCTATGTAGATACTCTGGCTTCCATGAGATTGAGCATGTATAATTCCCTATTCTTTAAGTAAAAGCTATGTATAGTGAATGCTTTCCAAAGATTATGAAAATTTGGGGCAAAAAGAGTACTTCACCATGGTGATCAAGGTGATTAATAACAATAATGATAAGTAATAACACATACCCTTGCTGTGATACAAGAATGGCATTTTCTTCTGTAGTTGTCTTCCCAAAACCATGAGTAAGCATCATGCAAAATCCTAATTGAGGAGCATCCTACAGAATACCTAACCAGCACATGTCAGAACTGTCAAGGTCATTAAAAACATAAAAATCTGCAAAAAGTCTCACAGCCAAGAGCACCCTAAGGAGATATGACAACTAAATGTAATATATTTGTGATGAGATCCTGGACAAAAAAAGAAGCATAAAGGAAAATCTAATAGGATATAAATAAATATGAGCTTTAGTTAGTAATAGTATTTTGATTTATTCATTAATTGTGACATATACACCTTACCAATGAAAGATGTTACAAATAGAAGAAGCAGGGTATGGTATATGTTGAAATCTCTGTTCTATCTTCACAATTGTTTTGTAAATCTAAAACTATTCTAAAAGTAAATGTTAATAAAAATAAATATTAAGGGGTACCTGGGTGTCTTAATTGATTAAGCATCTGCCTTTGGCTCAAGTCATGATCCCAGGGTCTTGGGATCAAGCCCTTGGGCTCCTTGCTCAGCTGGGAGCCTGCTTCTCCCTTTCCTTTTTGGTCCCCCTTGCTTGTGCTCTCTGGCTCTTTCTCTCTGTCAAATAAGTAAATAATTAAAAATAAGTTTTAAGTGTGGCTGATATTTAAAATAGTATAATTATACAGCTGATGTCATAATTGAAATATTAAGAATAATAGATTCATGTTTGCTGACGTGGAAAATGTAAAAATATATTATGAGGAAAAAGTAATTGACAAAAACATTGTGACTCATTTTATGCAAAAATGTAAACACACATATACATGGCACAAATATTTGGAAGATTAGCCCCATTGAAACGTTGTGACTTTAGCAAAAGCCCTGGCATTTAGGATTGTTGCAAATGGGTACATGTTGGCATTGATTCTTTTTGTCTGCTCATGCTTCCCGTATTTGAATATTTTATAATAAGCATGTATTTGTAGATATTTGTAAATTACTTATGATTTAAACCCCTTGTATATACTTTAACATCTGTCTGCTACCAAGCCTACCTTGATCAATTATTCCCTTTTACTCCATAACATAAAGGTTTTTTCCCAGTATGTCCTCTGCTGAGCATATAAACAAGAATAAGTTTTTCCCAGGTTAAAAAGAAAAATAGGAAAACAATACAAGAAGTGTACCTTTTGTTTATTAGTTACTCCATATCTCTTTTCTTTTGCTGCCAAAATTCCTGAAAGTGTTTTCCACCCTTGGTAGTTTCTACTATCCTCTGTGTTTTTCTCACTGTCAGCTCACTGCCTGATATTACTTCTACTAATTCTAATGATATGACAGCCTTCCTGATGGAAGGGCTATGGCAAGGAGGCAGCAGCCCTGGGCTCTGCAGTTGGGACCTTACAAATCCTACTTTACTTTCCTAAACTTGCTTTCCACAGCTTTAAAAGGAGGGTTAAGACTATATCTTGATATGTCTTATAAATAATACATTTCAATAAATATTGATCAGGAGATCTAGAAACAATACCCAGAATCTGAGCATTCTTTTCTTCACTATTATTGCTCTCACGCAAGCCACCCTCATCTTTCTTCTGGATTATTGCAGTTGACTACTACTAGCTCACTGGACCAACTAACCTCCCTGGGTCAGGTATCACTGCCTCTGCCCTAACAACCCTTCAAATATCTCTTGATGCAAAATCCAGGGAGGAGCCATTAGGACCTAAATAAGAGTATGTCTCTTTTTTCAAAACTTTGCAGAGGTTCTTTTGTGCAAGAATGGGGGTTTAATGTAGTGTGAGTTTGTGTCTGTGTGTCATCAGCAGTGGGATGAAGAAGTATGTCAAATAAAAGAGAGGTGCCTGGGTAGCTCAGTTGATGAAGGCCAATTCAGGTCATTATCTCAGGATCCTGAGATGGAGCCCTGCATTGGGCTCTGCCCTGGGTGTGGAGCTTGCTTAATATTTTCTCTCTCTCTCTCTCTCTGTCCTGCCTCTCCCTTCCCCAACCCTAGATCACACTCTAGAAGCCAATAAAGGGTGTGTTATTAAGCAGATTATTGCTGTGGGCAACTGGGGCTGATCCCACTGGTGAATGCTGAGAGACAGTGTGAACAATGCCTCAAAGTACTTCCAATCAGGATTTAAGGAGCTGAGGATTTTGGCAGCAATATCCTATCAATTTTTAGTTCAGGATTGCTGGAAAAGGTGAAAGGAGCACATAACCTCCCATCATGCCTCACCTGCTCTGCTCTTGAGCCTAGTAGATTAGCAGCTAAGGAAAGCACTCAGGTAAATGCATAGAAAGGAAACATACACAGGAGCAGTGTAGGTGGTGAGGGACAAAAAGATATGGATAGGTAGCTGATAGCATCTGCTAATATTCTTTTCTCAATTATTTTCTGAATTTTATTTCCTTCCTAGTTCCATTGATTATTCAGAACCCTTCTGGAAATAGATGGCACGCTCAAAGCAGGGAATTGAAAAGAGTTTAACAAAAAAGACTATTTACAAGTATATGGACAATTTTTTTAAAATCCACAAGTTATAATAAAAATGCTAGTGGACTAATTTCATTTCCATTGTCTGAAGGAGCCAGGGCAGGAGCAGATACTTGAAACCCAAGATCTATAGCTTACTGCATAAGTAGCGAAAAACAAGTCACTGCCAAGCCCCACCCTAGTGGGGAAGGACCCTAAAAATATTACCTAGATGTTCTCTCCTTCCCTCTCTGATCTTCTGCTTTTGCTTGTCAAACCAACAATAAGCCAGCAAACAACTGGGTCAAGCAGTGCCTGCGGTCAGTGGCCAGAGCACAAAGCACAGTGGGGATAATGGGAAGTAGATGCCCAGGAGTTGTTGGAGACTATCCAGTGTATCTGAATACAATGGAAGCTCCATGAACTTTTTCCAGTTTTATCGAGAAATGATTGACATATAATGTCATGTGCATTTAAGGCATACAACCTGTTAATTTTTATAGGAATATATTGCAAGATGATTACCATCATAGCATTAGCAAGCACACACACATCCCATAATTATTATTTCTTTTTCCTTAACTTTTCAGATGATTATGGAAACTCCACAAGAAGCAGGTCAATAATAAACAAACACAATGACATCACATCCCATAATTATTATTTCTTTTTCCTTAACTTTTCAGATGATTATGGAAACTCCACAAGAAGCAGGTCAATAATAAACAAACACAATGACATAGGATGGAAGTTCAATTATTTTTTTGATATAGATTAAAACTAAAAACATATAATAAATGTATTTAAATGCAAAGGAAAACCCATTTATTTAATGGAAATATTAAAGAGGTAGGAGAAGCATAGTTCCAGAAATAAAACTATGCCTTCTTAGTGCTCTTACCCCAAGCCTCCATTCTGAAGTCTCTTCATTCTATGTGTATGCTCTAACCCTCGATCTGGGGCTAAGTTTTACCTCGTATCCAGATCCCAGTGCATGAGAATATGATACAAAGCATATAATAAAGGGAGAAATACCAACAGCTAGAAGTGAATTAGAGAAGCAGCCAGGAGTAGCGAGTGGAAGTGGAAAACTCATCATTTTCTGTAGGTTTTCTTTTTCTGAAATTCAAAAAAGTTGAGAGGAAAGCATGGATGAACACTGTGAAGCAACGGGCTATTTCAAAGGCCATCCTTTTTGGTAGTATCAGCACTAGTTACCTCAATATAATCACACATTCTGTTCTATGAATACTTTAAATTCTCTAAGATAAATCTGTGGAAAACATAAAATGGATTCTTCACTCTGATTTTTTATCCCGAATGTGACATTCTTTCAACTCTTCAAACTGTTACTAGAATCTAAATGCACAACCTGTTTCCTAGAAAACTAATAAAATCTGGATCGTCTGAATTGTTTTCTCTGTTTTTTGCAAAGTTGTATGAATTATATTTCTATAATTGAACATGCTCATTAATAGAATATTTTTCTTTAAAAAAACTGCAAAACAACGTGCTCTGATGTGTAATATCATAAAACTTTGCTCTTAGGTTTAGCTCTTTTCATTTCTTCCAACCTGACATGTTTATCTTGCATGCATCCTTCATGACTGTCATGATCTTTCTTGTCTGTGTAGGCATTAGTCACTAGATAGGGACCTTCTTGGGGGAAAATAATTATTCATAAGTATATCAGTTAGCTTCTATCATCCCACAATAGGTAAGCATTCTATATGTCGTCTGAAATTGACAGTGTCTCATAAACCATACAATTATTCACTCATTTGGCAATATTTAAAGTTTATTAAAACTACTAAGTGCAGGATATAATACAATGAAAGAGGTACAATCTTATATAAACTGTTTGGGAGTATATATGTTTGGAATTTAGAGTTTTTAATTTGGGGGGAGTAGATTTTAAAATGATAATGTCGGGGATCCCTGGGTGGCTCAGTGGTTTAGCACCTACCTTTGGCCCAGGGCATGGTGCTTTTTTTTTTTTTTTTTAGGTTTGCTGGTCCCAGGGAACCATCATCATAGCTTTATTAGGGGTCTCCACATCCCCTCCACTCTGCAGCATCCTACGTTGTATTTGTGGGGGGGTGGAACTGTACACCCAGGGGCTGGGATGTGACTGCTGTGTTGGGGACCCACAGGTGAAGCTTTTCATACTGGACCAGTCCTCCATGCTGACCAGTTTTCGTCGGGCCCAGTCCAGCCTTGACCCAGGTGAGCAGGGGGGCAGGGGGACCCCTGAAAAGGAGGTATACATTTCCTGCAGGGTGTGTGCCGAGTGGTGCCTACCTGAGATCCTGGGATGCTGGAGTCCTGGGATCAAGTCCCGCATCGGGCTCCCTGTATGGAGCCTGCTTCTTCCTCTGCCTGTGTCTCTTCCTCTCTCTCTCTCTCTCTCTCTCTCTCTCTCTGTGTGTGTGTGTGTGTGTGTGTGTCTCATGAGTAAATAAATAAAATCTTTAAAAAATAATAAAATAAAATGATAATGTCATGCCCATGATATTTTCAAGTCACATTTTTAAGCTCTAGATAGCACCAGCTTTGAACTCACATCCGCCAAGCTGAGGTTTTTCCACTAAATGAGTTTAGGCCAAGTCAAGTTTTGGTGCCAAATAAAATTATTTTAAAAATCTGATTTTAAGAGTTGGTATTTTTTTAACTTCAGAATTGTGGACTGTGCTGCAGATTGTGAGACAGTGGGGGAATAGGACTTTTTAAAAAATACATTTACTTATTTCTTGAGAAAAGGAGAGAGGTAATATGTGAGCAGTAGGAGGGGGAAAGGGAGAGGACAAGTAGGCTCCACGCTGAGCACAGAGCTCAACTTAGGGCTCAATCCCATGACCCTGAAATCATGACCTTGGCCAAAATCAAGAGTTGGTCACTTAACCAACTGAGCCACCCAGGTACCCATATGACGTTTTTAAAAGACCTTAAGCTCTTATCTGAGAAATAAAACAAATCGTTAACAGGAAGTAGGAGATGTTTCATGTTGACCTAGGGTCACAAATTAAGCAAAGGAAGGAGAAGCAATAGAATCAATATCTACTGTGGAAGATATGTGCAGGTTTCAGTAAATAAGGAGGGAGAGGAGGGACAAGTATTGCAAGGGTAAAAAGGCATAAAGAAGTAGAGAAGTGAGAAAAATACTCCAGGAAAGACAAAAAAGCCCAGAAGACCAGGGGTATAGATCTTGGTAAAGGATCAACAGGTGGTAAATATGTCACAGTTAAATTATAGAGGACTTATGTTTGTTCTCACTTTTTTTTTTCTTTTTAGCTTTCTCTTACCTCTTCCAAGAGCACTAGATCCACTATGAATTATGCTGGCACTATTGATGACTCCCAAGTTATTAACTCTTTTTTTTAATTTTTATTTTAATTCCAAGCATAGTTAACATAATGTTATATTGGTTTCAGGTGTACATTATAGTGGTTCAACACTTCCATACTTTACTCAGTGCTCATCATGATAAGTATCCTCCTTAATCGCCATCACCTATTTAACCCATCCCTCCACCTACCTCCCCTCTGATAACCACCAGTTTGTTGGCTATTGTCATTATACTTTAGATCTATCCATATTGTTGCAAGTGGTAAGATTCCATTCTTTTTTATGGCTGAATAACATTCCATTGTATATATTTACTACATTTTCTTTGTCCATTGGTCTACAGACTCACATTTGGGCTGTTTCCATAATTTGACTATTGTAAATAACACTACTATAAACATAGGAGTGCATATATCCCTCTGAACTAGTGTTTTTGTATTTTGGCGGTAAATACCAGGTAGAGCAATTACTAGATTTTAGGGGAGTTCCATTTTTAATTTTTTGAGGAAACTCCATTCTGTTTTTCACACTAGCTGAAACATTTTGCCTTCCTATCCACAGTATATGAGGGTTCGTTTTCGTCCACATCCTTGTCAACGCTTGTTTTTTCTTGTTTTTTATTTTAGCAGATCTGACAGGCATGAGGTTATATCATTGTAGACTTGATTTGCATTTCTATGAAGATGATTAATATTGGGCATCTTTTCATGTGTCTGCTGACTATCCAAGTTCTTCTTTTAGTATTTTCTTGAGGATTTTTGCATCTATGTTCATATATATTGGCCTGTATTTCCCTTATTTGTGGTGTCTTTTTTTTAAGATTTTATTTATTTATTCATGAGAGACACAGAAAGAGAGAGAGAGAGGGGGGGGGAGAGAGAGAGAGAGAGAGAAGCAGGCAGCGGGAGAAGCAGGCTCTATGCAAGCAGCCTGACATGGGACTCAATCCCAGGTCTCCAGGATCACACCCTGGGCTGAAGGCAGTGCTAAACCGCTGAGCCACCCAGGCTGTCCTATTGTGGTATCTTTATCTGGATCTGGTATCAGGGTAAAACTAGCCTTATAGAAAGAATTTGGAAGTTTTCCTTCCTCTTCTATTTTTTGGAGTAACTTAAGAAGTACAGCATTTGGTGTATCCCCAAAATTTGGACCATTGTGTTTCTATTTTCTTTTGTTTCTATGTAATTTTTTAAATTTCTTCTTTGATTTCTTGGTTCATTCTTTAGTAGCATGATTTTTATCCATACATTTGTGCTCTTTCCAGATTTTTTCTTGTGGTTGTCTGTTTTGTCTGATATAAATATTACTACCCTGGCTTTCTTTTGGCATCTGTTTGCATAATAAATGTTTTACCATCCTCTCGCTTTCAACCTGCAGGTGTCTTTAGGTCTGAAATGAGTCTCTTGTAGGCTGCATATAGATGGATCTTATTTTTTTATCCACTCTGTCACTCTATGGCTTTTGATTGGAGCATTTAGTCCATTTATATTCAAAGCAATTATTGATAAGTATGTACTTATTGCCATTTTGTTACTTGTTTTGTGGTTGTTTTTGTAGTTTTTCTCTGATCCATTTCTTGCTATTTTTCATGGTTTGCTGGCCTTGTTTAGTGATACACTTGGATTTCTTTCTGTTTATTCTTTGTATATCTATTACTAATTTTTGATCTGTGTTTAAAATTAGGTTTGTAAATGACATCTTTATGTATAAGAGTCTATATTAAGTTGATGGTCACTTAAATTTGAAACCATTCTTTACTCCTCTGCCCCTCCTCCAAGTTTTAGGTATATGGTATTATATTTTACACCCTTTTTAAAATTAATACCTTGATTGATTTTTACAGAAATACTTGTTTTTACTGCTCTCATATTTTTTTCTTTTAAATTTTCATACTCTTACTTATTAGTCTCTCTTTTCCGCTCAAAGAGTCTCCTTTATATATCTTGTCAGGCTGTTTTAGTAGCCATGAACTCCTTTAACTTCTCTTTTTCTGAAAAAAATGTTTATCTCTCCTCTATTCTGAATGATAGTCTTGCTGGATAAAGTATTTTTGGCTGCAGATTTTTCCCTTTCAGTGCTTTGAATTTATCAGACCACTCCCTTCTGACCTACAAATTTCTGCTGAAAAATCCACTGATAGCAGTGTGGGGTTTCCCTTATATAATACTGTCTTATTTTGATTCTTTAATTATTTCTTTCTTTATCACTACTTTTTGCCACTTAGTTACTATGTGTTTTGGTGTGGATTTCCTTGGGTTGATTTGTATAGAGGACTTATGTGCTTCCTGAATCTGGATATCTATTTCCTTCCCCCCAGATTAGGAAATTTTCATCTATTATTTCTCCAAATAATGTTTCTGTCCCCCTTTTTCTCTCTTTTTATTCTGGGATCTCTATAATACCAATGTTAGTTATTCTTGATGGAGTCACTGAGTTGCCTAAAAGTATTCTCAATTTACATAATTATTTTTCTCTCATTTGCTCAGCTTGATTACTTTCCATTACTCTGTCTTCTGGCCATTAATAAATTCCTCTACTTCCTCTAGCCTACAATTTATTTCAATAAATGTATTTTTAATTTCATTTCTTTGGTGCTCTTCATCTTTGATTCCTTTTTATCTTGTTGTTAAAGGTCTCACTGATGTCCTCCACTCTTTTCTCAACTCCAGTGAGTATCTTTATGATAATTACTTTAAATTACTTATCAGGCATATTGCTTATATCTATTTCACATAGGTCTCTTGCTGTCGTTTGGTCCTATTCTTTCATTTAGGACATATTCCTCTGTCTCTTCATTTTATCTAACTCTATATCTGTTTCTCTGTGTTAGGAAGTCAGCTATGTTTCCTGCATTTGAAGGTAATGGCCTAACAAAGAAAATGTCCTGTATTGCCCTGCAATGCAGTGTCCCCACTTCCCTAGCACCTGATGCTTCAGGAAGCATCTCGTATGTGTGTTTTGTGTCCACTGCTATTGAGTCCTGGTATCTTTTTCCTTCACTCCAGTTGTTTGCGGACGTTCTCTTTGCCTATTGTGGGCAATGTTTCATCCCCACTCATGTGGGGCATGTTTTAGCAAGGTTTGTGCTGGTCTGCTTACAAAATGAAACTGAGTGCTACCAAATCTGAGGCCCCCAAAAAACACGCAAGTCAGGAGAAGAGATGTTGGCAGGGTTTGTGCTGGTCCTCTGCATTTCAGGGACTGAGGCATGTGTGACTGGGAAGGGACCATCTGCCTAAGTGTGAGGGGATAGGGCTTGCTGTAAGCAAGTTGAGTAGTGAATATAGGTGCTATGCTGGTTCCTGCAGGTGGTCATGTGTTTATGCTGGGGAGTTGGGGAGGGAAATGGCACATGCCAGCTCTTTTGTTCCCAGAGGGGTCTTCATGTGATCCTTGCCTCTCTGGCACACTCTGAGATGAGTAAATTACTCTCAATCTCCTATTCCCCAGGCATTTTACAAACTGGTGGTTCTATGCTATATCAGCATAGGCTGTTTGTGGTGCTGTTTCTTTAAGGACAGGGACTCAGTAACTAATGCCCCCAGGATCTCCCAAAATCAAGCCCACTGATTTTTAAAAGTCCAGGCTTTGACTCCTGCTGATTGTAAAAGCTCATGAAATTTGGCCCGTCTTGCTTTCAAAGCCAATTATGGGTATTTATCTTTCCCATGCAGGATCCCTGATGTGATAGTCTCTTATCACATCTCTTATGTATCTTCTCCTCAACCCTGGATCCCTCCTGACCCCAGGCAGGCAGCCAAGATCCATTTTGCTCCAAAACCACATCTCCGCTCTTCCTAATTTCTTATGTGTGGCCTTTTTTCTACTTATAGTTGTGGAGTTTGTTCTCCTAGTCTTTGGGTCATTTTTCAAATTATTTATGCTGATTGAGTGTTAGTTGTTCCTCTTGGACAAGGACAGCTTAGGATCCTCCCACTCTGCCAT